TAGTATTAAAGGTTTAAATCAGCATTTATTTTGATTGGCTAACTAGTTTCGGAAGGTTTCGCCAATTTCGCCAGTTTCGCCAATTTCGTCTTAGTTTCGGATTATCGGAAAGTTTCGGATTTTAGTTCTTGAAAGCCGAAACGTTTCGACCTTAAGATTTAGGTTTCGCCCACACCTTTATTATATAATAATGCAACTGGAAAATTTGTTAACAGATTATGGAGAGGTAGTCAATTATTCGATGAGGATGGGATTGCTTCTGTAAAAGTAACACTTGAAGTCCCTAAGAACACTAAATTACCTGCTAAATTTATGTTTAAAAGTTCGGGCTCAATTTTGGAAACCTCTTGTACTAGTATTAGTGGAAATTTTACTATAAAAGAGTAGACTTTATTAGAATATGAACTACTCTTCTTAATTATTATTATTACAATTATTAATAAATCACAAAATATCATCATATTTTTAACTGTGAAATTAAAGAAAATTTTTTTTTTATAGTCGGTCCTAATAAAATAACTTTGCCCACCATTCATATTTCTTTGGAACGATTTTCCAATAAATAAATAACTCTTTCGATAATATATAAATCTTCTGTACCATAAATGATTCCAAAAATAATTTATTGCTCCATTTTTTTTTTTTTTAAAGAAAATCAGTGTTATTTGATTAAAATTTTTCAGGTGATGCCATAATTTCATTAATGTAATCCTAATTTTATCTGAAATTTCAGATATCCGAAATTAAAAATAGTACAAGTATATTTATTGATCAATAAAAGGATTATGGGTAGAGTTGGATTTGGACATATACGTATGATGTCAGATATTTCCATGTGCAGGATGACGGGATCACTGACATGAGCGTTATACGAAAGCGCTACCTGAACAATGAGTGTTTCGCTGAAGAATTTTTATGGGTAAAAGAGACTCCTTGGGAGGTACGTTCATATGCTATCTGATAATTGATGAGCGCTTGCAAAACAAACAAGAAGATGCACGGAAAAATTTTCGAATGAAGTACTGATCGAAGAAGGATCGAACAAAAACTATCTCAATTCTTACCAAGGACTGAAATAGAAACAGAGGAGAATACTTGTTCCTAAAGATTATCATCACCTCAGAACGACCACAAGTGATCAATAACATGGTTAACATAACTATGAATCACCTGGGACATTTTTACTTGTGTGTTTCTATTCCTTTGGCACTTCAAAAATCCATATCCACTCTTTGAACTTCATAAAGACCGGGGAAAAAACATCGGTGCTGGGGCTGGTCAACCACCCCCTCCATTACTTGCTTGATTTTAAAAGGGTACATCATCAATAATCAAGATGATGTTTGTGAAAAGATAATCTCGCTAGATCCAGGTGTTCGCACGTTTATGACAGGTTACGACCCCGATTGTCAATTAATTGAGTGGAGTAACGGTGATATTGACAAAGTATTCAAATTGTCCAAGAAATACCACAAATTACGGAGCGACAAGGATCTTGCTTTGGGAAAACAACAAGAGAAAGAGATTTCGATTAGGAAAAAGATGCTACGAATCATACAACGAATCCGTAATTTGATAGATGCCCAGCTGGCCCGATGGTTATATTTTAGATTTCGAATGTTTCTTTTGCACATGATAAGAGAGTACAACAAGGTCACGAGGAGTACACTTCTAAGACATGTGAGCATTGCGGACAAATCAATGGCAAACTGGGTGGTTCTAAGACTTTTCGGTGCAATTCATGCGAAGGTGAGACGCGAACGGGGCGAGGAACATAAAAAATCGGTTAATAAAATTAATACAAACTCTCTTACTCAAATTGTTATCGGAGGGTCAAGTTTTGGCCTGACTTTGGGACTTGAACTTTTATGGGATACGATATGACTAACTCTGTTTATTCATGTTGAATTTAATTTCAAGGGTATCAGCACCCTCTAAACATTTACATCCTCGCAAATGCTACAAAAAATAAAATGCTTCAATCTTTCGATTATTTTTATTTTATTTCCGATAAATAAAAATTTTTCTGAATTGTTTTTTGAATGGCGAGACACAAATGATGAGCTTCCATTCTGATATCCAAAACAAGATAAGTGAAATTTTTACTAAAAAAAAAAAAAACGCGTTTTATATTATTATAAAAAAAAAATCCGAGGCTCCGCAACCATTAAAGTTAGTCTCATGAAAAATTAAGCTTCCTTGTTTTTCATTTAAATTACACCCTGAAAATAAAAAATAATAACGCGTCAAGATATTATTAAATAAAACATCCAATATTTA